AGCGGCCACTGCACTACAGTCTGGGCGACAGAGTGAGACTCCAACTCAAAAAAAAAAAGACTGCGGTATTGCCACCCTCTAAGGACAAAGATGACCCCGGGACAAAGCTTGGCCTGAGGATGTCAGAGGTCTCCCCAACACTCTTCCTTGAAATGTTCAGCAAAGCCTGGAATGCATGCACAGCACTTTCCATCCCTCACCCATGCAACCCCACCCTCATGCATTCCCCTCTGTGTCCCCCATGGACCCACTCACCCGGCCCAGCTTGTGGTCAGCCAGGGTGCAGGAGTCCATGAAGGTCTGCGCAATGACAAGGAGCACTGCATCCATGTTATCAGATGTCTGCACGTCGAACACAAACTGCGGGTTTTTTATTATATTGATCCAGAACCTCAGAGGCAAGCTGTGGGTGGGGCAGCCATGGTCAATGAGCATGATGAGGAGGCAGAAGAGAAAACCTCACCTGTGCCTCAAGCCCATCTGGCCCCATGCCCACCTGTTGGTCTTCCAGATGTGGATGGTGTCCTGGTCAGAGATGCCGTGCTGCTGGGCTTGCTCGTCCAGTAGGTCAAAGAAGTACTTAACAGCAAGTGGCACTGGGCGGCTGGTGCCAAGAATCACCTGGAACAGGTCATCCACGAACTTCTGCAGGGTGCCCTATGCAAAGTAGGGGAAGCAGAGAGGTGTGGTCAGCAAGGGGACCTCGGCACCAGCCCAGCCTGACACCTGCTGGCACTACACCCATGCAGGCCCTGCACTGCCTGCAAATCCCCATGAGTGGGCATTCTCCCCCACAGCCCAAACCCTACCACCTGTCCTGCCCCTGGCCCCACCCAGTCTCCCCGTCCCACCTTCATGGATAGCAGGCGGGTCAGGTAGATCTCAGGAATGGCCTTGGCACGCTCACGCTCCCCGCCCCGAAGGCTGCCCCTCCGAGGCCTGGGCGGCTCCGGTTCCTCACTTGGCTTCACCAGGTGCCAGGGCCGGATGCCTCCCTCATCTACATCTTCCAGCATTGGGGTCCCTGTGCCAAGAACCCAGAACTGTCAACCCTCACGAGGTCTCACCTCAACGGGTTCCCCCAGATTCTGCCAACTTTCCCAGGAGTGGGGGCACCTGGTTGAGGGCTTCCCTGGGTAGAAGGGAAATACATACAAGCCTTTCCTAAGGTCCAGAGAACCTCCCCCATTACCCAGGGCAAGGCAGAGGTAGAAATCCATGAAGGAACAGTACTCACGCTCTCCAGGCACATAATCTTGGTTTTCCCGGAGAACATGCTTGGTGAGGCAGGGGACAAGGGCCACAGTAGCTCCATCTGGGACCTGCTGACCACAGCTGGTGATCCCTCCACCAACCCCATCCACCATACCCCTCCTCCAACTCCCACCCCTCCCACCTTGTAATGTTGCAGGGTATTCAGACGCCTCCACAGACCCTGAACCTCAGAAGTGACGTCCTCATCAGAAAGAATGAGGTGCCCGGCCACCCCAGACCGCCACTCTGCAAGGGCAAGGCAGGACTTAGGACTTGGTCCTGGGTTTTCAGGATACCCTCCCTGCAGTACAACCCACCTTCTCCACAGGGATACCAACCCTCCATTGGGGGGCAGCCCTACTCAGTCTCTCCAAAGACCATAACTCTCTCACCAGGTAAGAGGTTGTCTGATATGGGGATTTCAAAGCCCACCTCCCAACATCCTGCCTGCCCTAGGTAATAAGCTGTCCCTGCAGAGCTGGTTCAGGGCTAGCCCAGGCCCAACATGGGCTCAGGTCCCCAAGGGCTCTCCCCATCCTTACCAACATCCAAGGTGCGAGGGTCAGGTCGCTGGGCAAGAGGTACTCCTTTGTAAAGTTGGTCTAGCATCTTCTCCTTGACCTGGGAGATGGTGTCACAGTCCAGGACCTTCACAGGCACACCTTGGGCCTCTCCTGCCCCAGGCCCCACTGCCAACAGCGCATTCAAGGTCTACACAGGACACATGAAGTCATCAGGGTTCACGTACATTCAGGATGACCAAGACAGAGGCCAAGGACAGGGACAACTCATGAGAGACCAAAGCCTCTGACCCCCAAGCACCATGCAGTCTCTCATTGTCTCTTCACTGGCCTGCCTCCCCCAGGGATGGGACAGCAGCTTCCTCCCCTCTGCAATTCCAGCACTTAGCACAGCGCACTTGCAAACGCCTATGGGCATTTGTAAGTGACAGAAAAACACAGGAGCACAAGTCCCTCCCACTCAGATCCTAGATTCCTGGCTGAGCTGCTGAGGCTGCTCAGGTTGAGGCTCCTGAGGGAGGCCTGCAGAAGCAAGTACTCCCACCCAGTCCAACAGAGGAGGAGACTTAGCAGAGCCAGAGTGGGATTTTCCCAAAGGAACCGTCGTGTGTAACGAAGGGGAAAGCAAACCCAGAGGGAAGCGTTTGCCAGGTTTGCCAACGTGGCTCTGGCTTGGTGGACAAGGCCGCATCCCTGGTAGGACAGTCAGGCAGAGAGTAAGGCCTTGGCACCTCTCAGACCCATGGTCCAGGGCAGGGATGGTTCCTTCCAGACCCTGGTTGTCATTACTCTGGTGCTATCCCACGTCAGGGGGCACTCCAAGGCTCCATCCTGAAGGTCTGGCCCCAACCTCTAGCCTGCTAAGCTAGTCTAAAGGCCTCTCCAGTAGCCAGTCAAAGGTCAGGCTGGCTCCACATCCAGACTCTGACATCTGAAGGTGGTGCCCCGATCCCACACCCCTGCACATCCTCCCCTCCTCACCCTCACCAGGGACTGTTACTGCAGACCCCACACATGCACACCCTCACCAGGGGACGGTACTCCACGTCCTCTCTGAGCAGGCGGTTGTCGTTCAGGGTGTATTTGGCTTTGCCAGTCACGCTGTCCACTGGCCCCTTGTCCACTTGATGTTTAATCCCTCGGAAGAGCATGTACAGAGGCTCCCCTACCGAGTCCTGTGGGAGTGCAGGCAGTTAGGGCCTCCCAGGCAGGTGGTAGAAGGGCATGGGACATGACACATGCTAGGGAAGGGGACAAGACATAGGCCAAAAAGGACTGAGGACATGCTGAGCAGGAGCCTCTGTTCTAGCACAAGTATGCAAATACCAAGGTGGCCAGAGGCTCAGTGGTCTACAGGGCCTGACCAGTCTCCTTAAACGGAAGCCCCATCCACCTCCGCCTCCCTCACCCTCACGAAGGTGTACAGGCAGATGGACATCCAGTTGGTGAGCAGCTTCTCTACCACGGTCTCTGTCCTGAGATGGCAGGAAAGGGGAGGGCCAGCATCAGAAGGGATCACGGGGCTCTCTATTCTGCAGACCCCCAGATCTGAGGGCCTGTCCCAGGTCCAGCTGTCCGCGGCCCACCCGGCCCCAACAGCCACACAGACCTGCGCAGCATCAGCTTGGGGTTCTTGGCCACATACTGGGCCACCAGGTCACTAAGCAGAGTACGGAGGATGTCAGTGAAGTACTCCAGCTTCCCATGCAGTGCCACAGTGAGCAGAGATGCCACATAGGCACGGTCCCGGACTGAGAAGGTGCGCTGACTCTCCAGGGTATGGATGAACTGCAGCCAGGGAGAGGGGATCGGGGGATGGGGTAGGGATGGGAGGTGGAATCAGAAACCATGCACTGGAAAGAGGGTGCCGGGGCAGGCCAGGACAGTCCAGTCGGGGTAAGATGGGGTGAGGAGGGTGGGGTGGGGCACCTTGGTGAGGAAGAGCTTGCTGTTGAGCAGGTTGGAGAGCTGCCCCAGCCCTTGCTCCACAGTGGGCCGTCTGTTCTCAGGCACACCCAGGTCTCGGTGCAAGGGTGACTCCTGGTGCCCAGGAAAGAAGATCCTCTCGGCATACACCTTGTAATCAAGGAAGGGGATGCCGCTGCCCAGAAGGTCACTGGTGAGGTCAGTCATCTCGGTCATGAGGTCTGTTTAGCAGAAGAAGCCAGTTTGGGTGCCAATTCCAGGTGATGGGAGTGGGCTTGGGTAGAGCCCTGGAGGGTGGGGCCTATTCTCCCCTCCTCACCTGTGAACCTCTTCTTGCCTCACCTGTGAACTCCTTCTTGCAACGGTCCCGCACGCTGCTTTCCAGATTCTCCAGCTGGATCTGAACCTTCTTATAGTCCCTCAGGGCCTGCTTGCTCTTCCTCCTGCTCAGCACCAAGGTAAGAAGGGGAAGGCCAGATGAGGCCAAAGCCCTCGCTGAGTCTCCCTTGGCCCAGGCCTGACTGACTCAGTCCCAGACACACCCCGGCGGATCCAGCACAGTCTAACCTGGCCATGCCCAGTCAAACCAAGACCTAGCCTACAGCAATTCAGCCTGTCCTCTCCCAAGGGGGCACCAAGCAAGTCACACCCACCCATGCCCTATTTAGCGCAGCACAGTTTAGACTAGGATCAGCACACTATAGCCAGGCCAAATTTGTCCCACAACCTATTTTTCTAAATAAAGATTTGCTACAACACAGCCATGCTCATGTGTTTGCTTATTGCCCTGGCTGCTTCTGTGCCACAACAGCAAAGTTGAGTAATTGCGACAGAAACCATTTGGTCTGTAAAGCCTGAAATATTTACTTTCTGGCACTTTACAGAAAATATTTGCTGACCCCAGGTCCCATCGGTCCTTTCCGAATCCAACCAGATCCCACAACCTGCTCCAGCCCAGCCACATCTGGCTGCACTCACCTGTACATGAGGACAATGATGATGACACCCAGAGCCAGAAGAGAGGCGCCCACCCCCAAGCCCACCTGGGCTGCCACAGGAAAAGCCACAGGGCCCTCGCTGTCAAACTGCACATGACCCAAAGAGAAGCGCAGGTTTCCCATCTGGACCTGTGTATGGAGCCACCTGTGAGTGAGGGTTCAGCCCATGCCTGATGCCCAACCCAGCCTGGGACCTGCCTACTGACCGTAAATTCTGGCAAAACATCAGGTGCCTCTCGGAGGGCATGGTGCTGTGGCAGGGGCTGCTCCACGGGGGGCTCACAGTACAGGTGGTGCCGGGTCAGTGTCTTTACCACACAGGGGACATCCCCTATCCTCGCCACCACCTCCTCCTTGGATATTGCAAGGTCCAAGTTCTCCCCCTGGAACACGGGGCCGGGAGGAGTCACTGATCAAGCACTCAGAATGTTTGCTTCCCCCAAATGTAGGAAGGATGGTCCTGAGACCCATCTCCCGGAGGCAGGGCTGACAGTCCCTCAGCACCTGTTCCCCTGCATGTGGGGTCACAGTCATGTGGGTATCCTCCAAGCTGCTCCTTGTGACCTTCTCTGCCCTTCCCTATCTTTCTTCTCCAGAGCTAAAAATCTAGAGAACATAAAGCTGTTCCCCAAATCCTGCCCAGTTACCTAACAAAGCCCCACTCTATGTTTGATGGCCAGCAGGTGGATGATGATGGAGTACCTGCCTATGGGCCTGAATGCCCACCTACTGCCTACTCCACATGTCTAGAACACATGCTTAGCATGTGTCCACGTGAGCCAGGCTGCCAACTGGGGGTTGGCCCAGGCGCCTACTGTGGGCCACACCACCCAGCTCCTTCATAGGCCAGATGTTACGTACTACCATTCAGGAGCCTGCCATGGAGTGTGTCAGGACCCAGGCCACCAGCAAGTGGTCAAACCCCTCCAGGTGCTGGGCGAGGCACCCTCCACAAGCCTCCTCCACCCTGGCCACAGTAAGGATGAGGAGCTGTGTCTGTCCAGTGGCCCTTGCTCTACTGCCAGAGCCTCTTCACCACACACAGCTGTGTTGTCCAGCCAAGAGAAGGGTCTTAGAGCCCCACCATGTCTCAGTAGGAGCAGTACCTCCACAGAAAACACACTTCCAGGCTTGTGCCGGAATGGCATGGTGGGGTCCTCAGGGTTGAGGGGCTGCAGGATGGGGTCAGGCTCATAGGAGAAGGGTATGGGGTTCAGTGTTGCAAAGTTGAAGACCAGGTTGTCAAGGATAAATTCCACCTGAACCCAGGGGTCCTCGGGCAGGCCTGGGATGGCAGGTGTGCGGCACAGGATGAGCTGAGAGGAGTTCACACGGCATGGCTCCTCAAACTGGGTGAAGAGAGACAAGGGAGGGTCACCTGAGGGGTCGCACAGGAAGGGGTTCAGCCCTCCTCTGCTACCAGCCACCTATGGCTATCCACAGGATATAGTGTGGGATGAGGGTGAGTGATGGCTAGCCCAGAGCAGGCAGGGGTACCCAAGGGTGTCCTACGTGATGGCTGCCGCAGGAGGCTCCAAGGGGACATGCTGTTTCCAGGACCACACGCCGCCTCCGTCCAAGCCCCTGGTTGGGCCGCTGCACTGAGGCCACAGTCACTCGGATTCTTGGTGTCTGTACCACATCCAGATTCTGGCCATAGACCCATATCTCACGTCCTCCACTGAAACACAGCCCGTGAGCTACTCATGGCTTACATGAACCAGGATCTAAAGCATAGCCCAACCCCAGCCCCATGACCCCTTGTCCCTACTAGTAGCATGGGCATCATAGCCCTGCACATACAACCCCACAAACTCCACATGGTGGAGCTGCAAAGATCCGTCTACCACATGTAACACAGCCATGCCCTTGGCCCAGCACCTGAGAAAGCTCTTGGTGGGGCCAGCAGAAGTGATGCTGGGGTCTGATGTGTACTTGAACTGGCCATGTTGAAGCCTCCGCTCAGTAGCCCCAAACCACACAGTCACAAAGAGTGTGGCAGGTGTGGGGTGTGGGCTGGTCTCACACCACAGCTGCTCCGACTGCTGTTCTGGCAGCCTGGTGAGGGAAGGTGGGAGTGGATGGCAAGCCAGGCTGGGCTGGAGGGGCGCAGGCAAGGAAAACTCGGGTCCCACTCAGGCCTCAGCTCCTGTCCCTGAAGTGCTGACTGCAGTCTCCACCAGCTGGCCCCGGAGGCACACTCCCACAACAGCCCCACTTAGGGAGGGTCTCGTCACCTTCTGAAGGAAGAGACATGCCCTGTCCCCCTTTCTGCTCTCCCCAGCACCCTACTCCCCCCATCTTCTCCCTGGAGCACATGGATTTTTGCATGATGAGGAAGTGGCCTCACAAGTGGCAAAGCTGGTCTCCAATCAACACTCGGATGTCCTCCAGACGTCCAGTCAGGAGCTTGGAGCCTTGCAGGGTGAGGCGGGTGCCCCCAGCTCTGGGGCCATGGGCCGGAAAGATGGAATGCAGCTTCGGGTCCTGTGGGGAGATAAGCATCAGACCAGAAACAAGAGGCAGGGAGAGCCCAAGATAAACAAGATGGCCTGGGGTGGGGAGCCCTTTGAAGGTGAAACCAGATGGGCTGAGAGGAGCCACCAGCTAACCCACTGGCAGCTGGGGGTGGCTCAGCAGTCAGGCACCTGGTAGGTGAAGTTATGTTCTGAGATGCTGCGTCCTCTTCCGGGCACCTCCACTACTGCAGCACCAGCCATCTCCTCCCCACTGGCTCCAGTGATGCACACGAGGCTGTGGGCACAGGGCAGGATAGGGGGTGCCAGGCTACACCGAGGGCCATCCAAAATGACCCAGCAGTCAGTCTCTCTGCCCCAACGTCAGGTGGTCTTCCCCTCCCTATCCACCACCAGATTGACAGAGACCCTCTCTTTGAAGGAAATTCCTTATGATGTACCAGAAGACCATGGCGGTATCTGAGAATATTCATGGTTTCAATTATTCAAGTTCAACCCCAGAGACCCCCAACAAGGAGGAATGTATCTGTGTTGTGGCATAAATTTACAAAGGGGTCCTGTAAGGTTGAGTGTGGGGTGAGTTGCTGAGCTAGTGAGTGGGCCACGCCAGCTACCCAAGCCCTCCACCATGACCATGTGTACAGATTCCACTCTCAAAGTGGTAGAAACTTGATTTCTTCCGGAAAAAAAGACCCTGAAAACTTCTAGTCAGATCCGGGAACATGTGAAAGGTCTAAGAAAATGCTCATTCTTAGCTAGAAAACAGAAGCTTGGGCAAATTAATTTCCAGAATGTTAAGCCTGCAGTGGTTCAACTCTGCAACACTGTCATGGTTGCTGCAAATATTCCAGGCTAACATAACAGGTGATGTGTGAACTACCCAGGGGAGGTTCCAGTCAGAATATATTTTAATTGCTTTATAAATCACTTCATAAATTACTTTAGTCTTATAGTTCTGGGATCATTGACAATCTAGACAGCCACCTGAAGTTCTCAATCACAGCACATTTAGTGGAAATGCCATGTTCTAGAAAGGCGATTCCTTACTTCAAATACAGATTGTAGGGTCCCTGAATCCAGATCTCTGAGGCTGGAGTTAAGAATCTGCTCTAGCTGGGCTCAGTGGCTCAGCCTGTAATCCCACGCTTTGGGAGGCTGAGGTGAGTGGATTGCCTGAGCCCATGGGTTTGAGACCCACCTGGGCAACTTGGTGATACCTCATCTCTACAATAAATCAAAAAAAAAAAATTAGCCAGGTGTGGTAGCGCGCGCCTGTAGTTCCAGTTACTTGGAAGGCTGAGGCGGAAGGATCACTGGAGCCCAGTAGGTTGAGGCTGTCGTGGCCGGGAGTGTGCCACTGCACTCCAGTCTGGGCAACAGAGTGAGACTCCAACTCAAAAAAAAAGAATCTGCTCTGTGTTGAGGCAGGCTCTCCATGTTACCTTGACATTCAGTCAGGTTTGGGCCCTGTTGCTTGTGGCCACCTCCTTGGGAACATCCTGTGCATGTACTTTTGGGACCCTGCAACTGCCAGTCAGGTCACCATGACCCAGAATCTCAATAAGCCATGCGTCCCAGGAAGGTAGCAGAGTCTCCAGAGACTAGAGAGAGGAGAAAGACCCTCAGCAGGTGTGCCACAAGTCGAACCTCCTGAGGAGCTCAATGGCCCAGGGCAGTGCTTGGGAAAGAAGGGTCAGCTGGTGAGAAAGTTGGCCCTGAGACAGCTGTCTGAGATCTGAGGACCCTGCTACAACAACTACTATCACAGTCACTCAGAAAGACAGGTAAGAACACCTAATTGGAGCCAGGAAGCAGGGTCACTAGTCAGCTCTGGGCAAGGACATTGGCACAGATAAGCTCAGGAATGATCCTCAGCAGCCCAGGCCAGGAACCTGCAGGAATGTGTAGAAAGTCAAGATGGGTGCTCCGGACCTTGATGGCAATCCCAGCCTGAGGCATTGTGAACAGAATCAAGGAACGGGGGG